GAGTCCACGAAAAAAGAAAATGTGGAGGACAATTAAATCATTGAAAAAGAAGCTAACGAGAAAAGAAGAAAAAATACATTCTTTGAAGAACTTATTGAAAACTCTACAGTATGATAACAAATTATAAATATATGTATGTCCCAAAGCAGTATATATATTTAAGCTCGTACGTACAACTATCTTGTTGTTCAAGTGTGACTATATATACTGATTTTTGGATGTGCAACTTTCCCGTATAAAAATATCATACTGAGCCATAATAAATAATATATAATATATTATATATAATATATATATATTATATATTCAGAATTGTAAAATTATATATTGTACATATACTGAATCGTACATATAATGAACAGAGCAAAGAATCTTCTTGAGAGAGATCCAAGTGAGGTTATTGCTCAAAATTTTGGCGGAAGCATTGGTGAATTGTTCCAGAACGAATGGGTCAATAAAAACAGAAATAAGAAAGGTTGCCGATACAGCGATGAAATAAAAAAATTTGCTGTAACTCTACATTTTTACTCGCCGAAGGCCTATAATTATTGCAGGTACATTTTTCAAATTGTCATTGTTTATTTATTATGAGATTTTAAATTAATATTTAAAACATTTATTTTAACATTTTCAGATCAATTCTACATTTGCCGCATGAAAGCAGCATCAGAAATTGGATTTCGTCAATTAATGTGGAACCTGGTTTCATGACTGATGTTTTTCAAGAGATATCAAAATTCCCAGAAGGTTCGCATCATTGCAATTTAGTATTTGATTCGATGGCGATTCGGAAGCAGGTGCTATGGGATGCCACATCTGAAAAATTTGTTGGATTGTGCGAATACGGCAATGGGATATCTATTGAAGCTGCAGAAACTGAAGCCACCGAAGTCCTCGTTTTCATGCTGGTTTCTCTTAGAGGTACATGGAAGTGGCCCGTGGGTTATTTTTTCGTCGATAAAATAACTGCTGCAGTGCAAGCTGAATTGGTAAAAACAGCATTAATAATGTCGCAACAATCGGGTATTCGGGTATGGAGTATTACGTGTGACGGAGCTCATGTCAATTATTCAACAATGAATTTATTAGGTTGCAATTTGTATACGACAAATTACTGTGAGCTAAAAAGCATATTTAAACATCCCAGCTCCGGTTACGATGTACATTTCGTACCCGATGCTTGCCATAATGTAAAGCTTGCCCGGAACGCGTTAGGTGATCTCAAAATTATGAAATCTCCCACTGCGCAGATCAATTGGTACCATGTAACAAATTTACATAAGCTTCAACTCGAACTTAATTTAAAATTTGCAAATAAACTTAGTTCTGCGCATGTAAATTTTAAAGCTAATATTATGAAGGTAAAGCTTGCAGCACAGACTTTAAGTTCTTCAACTGCTACTGCTTTGGAATTTTTACAATTTTTAGAAATTGAAGAATTTAAAGACTGTGCTGGCACAATAGAATTTATCAAGGCAATTGACGAAATTTTCGATTTTTTAAATTCCCGCAATCCTTTCGGAAAGGGATTTAAAAAACCAATTTTTTATAATAATATTAACTTCTTGCAACAAAGAATGGAACAAAAAATTGAATATTTATATACTCTAATGGGACCTGACAACAATAAGTTATGTGCTGGTAGACGAAAAGCTTTTATCGTAGGTTTTGCGGCTGCTGTTAAATCAATTTTTCGAATAGCTAAAAATATTTTGTTAGAACCCTGTTTTAAATATCTAATGACATACAGGTTTAGCCAGGATCACTTAGAATTATTTTTTGCGCAAGTGCGAAGGCGACATACTTGGAATAACAACCCAAATGTGCTGCAATTCAAAGCTGCTATGAAAAGTTTATTAGTAAAAAATTCAATTTCAGCATCAGTGAAAGCTAATTGTACCGGTTTTGATACAGAAAACGATGTACTATTTAAATTAACATGGGTGAAGAAAAAAAATTTTCAATATTGGCATGATAACATTAGCACAGATAGCACAGATTCTGATATTAATGACAATTTATTTGACGACGCTGAGAACAAAGAATTATATCATTGTATCAATGTGAATGATAGTAGTTTGCTTCAAAAAAACATTTTATATTATATAGCAGGTTTCGTAGTCAAAAAAATTATTCCTAAATTAATATGTAAAGGTTGCATCGCCAATCTCATAAGAAAAGTAGGTGATAGAGAATATAACATTTCGTCGTACACAATATTAATTGACATAAAAAATAAAAGGGGTTTAGTGTACGCATCAAATCATGTGTACAAAATTGTTCATGCCACCGAAATGGAGTTCCGTCAGTCATTAGTAAAAAGTAAAAATAAGCTACCAAATAAAGATGCATATTCTCAAATAATTTGTCGAGTAACACGCAGATATGCATTAGATACTGATTTTTTTCTTACTAGTAACGATTGCTACGAAGGATTCGAGATAGGTATAGATACACCGCACCGCTTACAGTTAATAAATATTATTTGTCGGAAATATTTAACAATTCGAATGTATTCATATTCTAATACGTTAAATAAAGATATTGTAAATCCCGTCAGTAAACGGCAAAAATTATCAAAATTAATACTTTTTAATAATACGTACATTTTATACTTAGATTTTATTTATTTACATTTGTTATTTATTACATTGTTATTTACATTTATATAGATTCATTCGGGTATATAGATGACGTCGTAGAAATTTAAATGTGCAATTTTGTTTACCAATGTATTCAATACATATTATATATAAGTATATATTTATAATTATAATAAATATAAACTTATATATGTTTTGTGCATTATAAAATAAAATGTAGTTAATTAATAGTTAGTTGTCTTTATTGAATTCCCGAAGGCTTACAAGGATTTCCGTTTGCATTATTACAATAAAATAAAATGTATATATAAAATGTAATAAAATAAAATAGAATAAAAAATGTATTTTAATATAATAAAAATAATGTATTTTACCATAATAAAATGTATTTTTTACTATAATAACATTAATGTTTTATTATTATACTTTTCGCGCACATAGCTGAAATAAATAATGTTTCATTATTTTATAAATGTTGTAAATATTATTTAAATATTAAAATTGAAAAATTTAATTTTATAAAAATTGAAAAAAAGAAATATTTTAGTACATCTCATGCAATAGTAATAGCTGACAAAAAGCGGGAGCAGCCATTTTGGTGTAAGATGTCATGGCCGGGTATCACATACGCACTACACATGCACCGCCGCCATTTTGTTGTAAGGTGTCATGGCCGAATCCGGAAATCCGGCCGGCCACAGCTCTTTTGACGAAGTTAGCGATCTAGTAGTAGTATAGATATCTGTGAGTAATCCTCAAAC